TATGCAGATGACTCCAACAGAATACATTCAGGATTTTCAAAATTTTTGATAAGAGATTGTGAACTGTAGTTCAGTGAGTTTATATTTCTATTTAGAAGCAAATACAAGACATTTACTTTTTCAGAAGAACTGCTGCTAAAAATTCAAAGCTAAAAGTATTGAATATCTAGAAGGATCATGCATATTCTCTCACAAGATCACACAAGGGATTCCATGGTAACAGAAGAGGAGGAGGTACTTATTAACTACCCTTCTTATAGTTCAGTATGTAGGTTGAGGAGAAGAGAAACACTTGTGTTGAGTCTGATACTATCATTAATGTCAAACATTCCAAGATTTGATGTGAGAATTTTACTTTAGGGAGTATGTTTAAAAAAAAAAAAATTCAATTGTCACTACAACACTTCATTCCCAAATTCCTATAAACCTAATAAATAAAATATATTATTGTAATTCTTTTAACAATTATACTTTTTACAATTTTGAAATCTTGAGCAAGTGAGATTATAAAGTAAGAGAATGAAACAAAAGGTTTTACTATGCTTTATCATTTCAGTGATACATATGTATGTAGCATGATGGTCTATGTAATTGGAACAGTAAAAACACTTTCAATATTAATAAGTGTGAACTAAATACCTCATCATTTTAATTCAATCATCGATTCATTTTATTTCTAAAGATATATAAATTAGTGTGCAAACTTTCAAGTCTAGCTGTATTGTTTCCTTGTTTTTAATGGGTTGAGTAAACTACAACTAAATGTAAATCATATCAAAATAAATACAATAGATTATTTCATCTGAACAAAGAATAGGATTTACAATATTCTGTCATATGCAACTTTGCAATATTAAAACAATATATTTTCTTTACTTCTCTATTTAGAAATCTCATCTTTATTCTAATTTCCCTTTCTGAGAAATTATTAAATGAATTTACCAATATACTATGGTGTTTATGCCATGCATATGAACATGTATAAATTCAATTATATCCTAAAATAGGATAAACAACATTTGCAATATTTGGTAGCTAGTCAACGTAAAATTTACCAAAAGAGGAAATATAGTATAGCAGAAATTTAGCAAAATAAGAAAGTAAAGACAACAATACTAATTACATGTTAATGAAAAATTATTTCAAATATGTATATATATATATATCACAAATTAAGTGCTGGTGTTAATAAAATAGAGCTATAATTTATATATTATTAATAAATATACAATTTTTTTTCCTCTCCATAAGCACAACTGAGTTTCATGCACAATTTCAATCAGCACTAGAAGATTGTGTCATGCATAAAACTCAGAGTTGTGCTACTGGTGAGGAAAAATGTGTGTGTATATATATATATATAAGAAAGATTGTGTTTCACAAAAAAGTCAACTAGAAAAATAATAAAACAAGCCATCTTTGTAGTTATAATGTTCGATATCAAGAGATAGAATATTAATAGTAAAACATAAAAATGAATGTTCATTTATCTTGTTCTTACTCAACAATCAAGTGAATATAATCTCCAAGGAACTCAGAATAAAGACAAGAAAATTGAACTTTTAATTTTATTTATTTGTCTTTCTATAAAATCACCAGATACTTTTTGCCCATGAAATCTACTTTAATCATTGATTCAAACTTTAATTACAAATCCCTGTCTAAAATTTATATTAAAAAAAATTAATGTTTATAATTCCAAGTTGTCATTATATTTGTTTGAACTTACCTTTAAAAAAGTGTCCAGAACAGAACAGTATAAACAAAAGTAGAATTTGAAAAACTTAAGATTGCAAAACAGTCACATTAACTGATGATAGTAATCACTGAAATCATTAAAAAAGATATAAGTAAAAATTGAAAAAAAAAAAATTAAAGAAAACATTACTACATTCAGTATTATTCTTAACCTATCATTACATTATTTCATGAAGGTAGATAATTAATTGGACTAAATGTATATTTTAAGTTAAAAAGCTAGTCACTTGCTAGCTTCAGAGAAAACTTAAATCTAATTATATTGTAAAAAAAAAACAAAAACAACATGAAGATGTGCTGCTTAATTGCAAATCAACTTGAGTATTTCAATTTTAGTCATAGCTGAAGAGGTTTATACAGATCTTGAAACAGGAAACAAGATCCCTCATTACATCAGACTAAAAAGGAATACAGATAAATATATAAGATCAAAAATGCAGCCATCACAAGCAAACACTCAAAATATTCATTTTCGTTATTAATTAGTGTTAGTCGTTATTCACTTTTACTTGCTTTCTTGTAAATTTTCAGATATAGAGCAGCAGAGAAGGAAATTAGTGAGGCAAAAAGGAAGCAACACTCCAAAATTGAGTAGAGACATTATGCAGGAGTCAGGAGTTAATCAGTTTGGAACCTTGTAAAATTGCTTCCATATTCAAGATAAAGGAATAGTCATAATCTTGCTAAACTGCAATCATGTAGAGAGATGTAATTTTAAAGATGCCTCAGATAGAGAGGCAACTGTTCATTGAATTAGAACTGACAAAAAACATTGGTAATTATGCTATATTATCAAACGCAAATTAGGAGAGTATGTTAGGCAGGAGGACTGGAAAAGGGTGAAAAAGATTATTTTTGACAGCTCAATTTGAAGAGATAGCTGCCTAAAGATAATAGTCACAGACTAATGTCTATTATGTTCCAAGTTCAGATGAGAGGAAAGAGAAATTAATATATTGCCATCTAAACCCGTGTTCCATGGCAATACAAAATTAGTAGCAAAATATTTCAGCTTAAAAAAAGGAAACTGCTCAAAAATGTTTCCTACTTTTTTAACTAAAATGTCTTGCTATTAAAACTAGTTAGTAATGATAAAGAGGAAAGTTCCATAGGTTTAGAGTTTAATACAAGTTGAAATATAGCTACAAATTGAGAAAATAAAAAAAATATCTGAAGCTGTAAAAGGTAAGGAAAAATATATGAATAGAATATCCTGAAAATAAAATTTGGTAAATATTTTTGTACATTCAACAATAAAAACAATAAGCAAAAAAATTGGTAGAAACAAATTATAAAAGTACATGTTATTATGGGTCAATCAAGATACTGACTTTTAGAATCTATCAATAGTATAATAATAGCCAGTGTTTAAATAAAAGTTTTACATTCACTTTTTTCCAATCATGATTCAACATTCAAAAGTCAAATGAAAGTAAAAATTAGAAAGCTTATTCAAAGTTTATGACAGTCTGAAAAATAAATGTGCTATAGTAAGCTGAAGATTTGTGGTTTTTTGCTGAACCTATATTTATTGCCTCTCCACATAGTCTGCTATGGGAAACTGAAGTTGTATAATACAGGGGCTTATCATCTAAAACAAATGTATATAGAAATTACAACATGAAGAACATAGGCTTCTTGAATTCTTAGCTATTTAAAAGGGATGACATTTAATAAGTTGATTTTAGTTTAAGTTGAACTTTTGAAATTCGACTGAAGGAAAGCAAGCAAGCTTTAATATGGATAAAAACTACAATGGTAAAAAGCAGTTCATAATTTCCTGATTAATGATGAATTCATGTTGAATTTTTTAAGTTATCAACAAATAGACAATACAAAATAAAATTTAATTAAAGTAATAAATGACATAATAAACACTGTAGTAAAAATCATACTGCCTACAGTTTAATGGACTTAAAAATTGTAAAACTAAAATTAATTCAAATGTGTATTTAATATTGTTAATGTCAGAAATGAAAACATCAGCATATAACTGAAGTTATTTTTCCTATAAAGCAAATATACTATCATACACTAACAACTAGCATTATACTAAAATTATGTCTTAAGAATTCTATATCCAAAACTTTAAATATGCTTCTTAAATTTCATAATCAAGAGACAGAAAAGTAGAGAAGAGAACATAAGCTGGAGGATATTTCTCTTGAAATAATTCATATATTTTGTGCTAAGAGTTCATCTTTCATTCAACTTGTATTAAAAAGAAGTATTTACTAAATCTTTCAATAATTTTGAGCAAAATAAAACATGGAACACCTGCTCGAAATCTCCACTATACTTGAAATAATAAATAAAATATTAATTAAAAAGGAAATGATGATGTGTATTAACTTACTACAAGTTTTCAGTATTTAGTGTAGTCTCTAAAAAGAAGAGGCTATCAAAAGTAATACAACTCAAGAGTTCAGCAGTGTTACAAGTGAACGTGAATATTTCGTGTTCTACCTGCCCCCAGAAAGCAGGTAAAATCATAACACTTAAAATTAATAACAAGTAAATTTGAATAGTATTTAAAACTTCAAAGTTACAACAAACAAAAGAGCATAAAAAAATAGTTTCATTAAAAAACTGATTATAAATTAAATAAGTATATGCACAAAGTGAACATTTTTCATTCAACTCACTGAATTGACTGAAGTCCTGTAAAAAGATCATCAGGTGCAGAAGTCAGACATTACCAAATTTGGCTTTACCTTTTGGATAGAGTTCAGTGTTGCATGATCACATTATAATATCTTCTAATCAAGGAATAATAATAATGTTGTTTCATCAAGTATGTTAACCAGATATCAGACACAACAAATTGGAGTTAAGATTCATGCACATCACATAACGAAGAGTAACTTCAATAATGGTAACAGTAATAACAGAATAGAAACTGACTTAACATTTGTAATCAATCAACTTTTAAATATCAATACAACAGTTATAAAGTATTTCTAAAATTAACTTAAATACTAAGAAATAGCAATATCAAAATAATCCCTATTCTACTGGTATCCTATTTTTTTTTATTGATTACATTAAAACAAATATTTTTTTATATTTTATTTTTCATGCAAATATGAAAGGTAATGTTGATAATAATCACAAATCTTTATTCTTGAACAAAAACACAAAAGAAATTAATGATTTCAAATATTTTAACAATAACATAAATGTGTTTATGTGTGTGCATAAATATATAAGGTCCCAACTAATGAATGGAGGAGAGCACTCACCTGTTTTCGGGTAGACATGCAAACTAGCATTAGCTCTTGCTTTTGTTCCTACACCATTATCAGCAATACATTCATAGACACCAAGATCCTTTTGTTTAACAGGCTCAATTCGCAATACTGACCCATGGGGCATTTCCTTAATAACTAAACGGTTTCTATTTGTAGTAATGCGCCGAGAACCTTTTTTCCAAGAAAAAGATGGGCCAGGATTCCCTGAGGCTTTACAGAAAAAGCTTACGATTTTTTCTTCAGCCACCTTTTGATTGGTTGGAGCAAGTGTAATTCTTGGCGGATCTGAAAATACAGAAAAAAGGTAAAAGATTAATATTTAAAGTATAAATTTCTTTAAAACTTAGCCCAGATAAAAATAAAAAAAAATAAAACTGAAAAATAAAAATAAAAAAGTTGCAGCAGATAAAAACTGAAGCACACAAATACACCAACTAAAACTTTTGTTGAATCATAAAGATCAATGAGACAAAAAAATTGTATTAAAAAATATCAAGCAGAATCTATTAACATGGCAATAGCAACTTTTGATTGTAACCAATTTACAAACTGCAATTCTATATCCAATCCAATTGAGAAATTGGAGAATTAACCTTTTGGGGAGTCTGCTTGCAAAATACAATCTTTTCACATCATTTTCTGGAAGATTTAACAAAAATTTTAATCACTGAATTTGTGGCAACAAAAACTGATACAACTAATAAAATATATTAAGGGGGGGATACTAAAACAAAATACATCTAAATTAGACAAATAAGTTGGAAAGACAAAGAGTAAACTTAAACTGTCCAAAGCCAGAATAAATACCTCAGAAGCCAGAAAAGATCTAGTTCTGCTAAGAAAAAAATCATAACTCAATGAAAGTCAAAATTAATTATTAGAAAGAAACGGACGACAAGTTTTGATTTGATAACATAAAAGTAAATTTATTAAAATTTTCATTATTTTAACATACTTAAAATATATATAATTTCTAGCAAGTCTATTCCAACTTAGTTGTCCAATATTCTGACATTTAAGGGTTACACCTAAGGAATACCTTACTATGAGCAGCATTAGAGAACCCATAATAAACTATATTATCTAATATCTATTCTACTAAATTTACCTAATACATTTAAGTATAAATTATAAATGTTTCTTCAATAAAAATGAACTGCTATTAATCTTCAATAATCACTTTGTAACAATAGACTACATACACTAATGAGATGAATTCATAACCTTGGTTGATGATTTAATGAAATTTTCAATAAATTTTGTAATAATACTTGCAATAAATACTTTACCCACATATTTGATTCTGTAAAAACTCATAAGTCATAAAGATAATTCTTTTGGGTATCATATTTAAAGAATCAAAATTTTCAAGATGAATGCAAGATGATATACAAAAGTAAACAATGGCATACAAGTCAAAAGTGTTTACAAATTGTGACTACTTTAAGCACAAATGTAAGTCTTTCACAAACATTAGTAAGGCATTATTTGGGGGCTGGAAACTTACAAAGAAATAGGATTTGGCCAAGTCTTCTTAGGAGCTATCAAAGTCAAATTTTATTAAAGAGTTGTTTCACATAAATAATGTCACTTGTACATACATCTCATGAACATACTCTTTGATCAAAAGTCAAAGTTCATTTCATAATTAGCACTACCATTTATTAAAAGGATACAACTACTGAGATATACTTATCAGAATACATTTAAAAAGTAGAATCATATATAAATATTAATTGCTTATTAAATTAATTCATTTTAAGGACGAGTTCCAATCCAGCAAATCTCTATTGGATTCAAAGTAAATGCGTATTTTTAGCCTACTGATTGTAGTAATAGATAAAAAACAAGAAAGTTGTTTCATTTGAAAAACTAATTTATTATGAAGTAAACATTCTGCTAACCCTTAAATTGTGGGTATCGCCAACTGATGCTTCATTGGAGATCAGCAATTCACGATTTAAATTAAATGATAAATTATCAACTCTAGAATTCATGGAGGTTACTATTTATTAGGATTCATTCAGTTCCTGAAATATTTGCCTGCAAATAAAGCTGGAAGAACAAGACAAAGACATTGTTGTGTTTGTATGAATACTTCTCAAAGAGAAAAGAGGCAAAAAATGATAACTTGGAGCAAAGAATGCACAACTCCATTAGACATGGATAACTTCATGGAGTATAATACTATCATAAAAAAATAAATAAATCTACTTTCTTGTTTGTCATTACTTATTTGGCATGCATATTTATGCAAACTTTTCTCACCATTTAAGGGTTAAAAAAAAGAAAAAAAGAACAAGTTTAATTACAAGTATAGCTAAGTATATACTGAATCATACTTATTAAGAGATTTTAGTATATTCTCTTGAGTTTACAGAAGACAAGGGAAATCAAATAGAGATTTTATTAAAGGGTGACTTATTCTGATGTAAAAATATTTTTGTTCTTAACACTATCAGTGACTGAAATCATTAAAAGTAAAAAAAAAAAAAAAAACAATTTAAAAATCCACAGATCAAACTTCTAAACACCTTTGAACACCACCTTGCAATCATCAGAAAAATTTAGGTGCTATTTGTTTTTAATTTGCTAGATATTTGTCAAGTTTATTTCTAAATTTTTAAAAATGAATATTATTTTGAATTAAAATTTCAAATGTAAAAATTCTAAACTTATTAAAGTACAATTTTAAGTTACTTTTCCTTAGATTAAAAATGTATTCTAAATATTTCTATCTGTTCAATATATGTAATTATCTAATGCTGCCCACGTATACTTACGTGGTAAATAGCTGATATACCGGAGGTTGGTGAAGTTAGAACCTGAATGTGCAATACATATGACAAAGAATTAGTATCCTGATGCTGTATTAATTAGGTTAATAGTGCAAGCAGCTGCATCCTGCCAACTGCTTCTTGTATTTATGTTTCTTAACACCATGTTTTAGAATAAATCACTAATTTTAAAGATATTTTCTCATATTGCAGTGTAAAAATCACTTTCATGTAGAGAAAGAATGAATTTATATAAGTATTTATCTAATCAGGATGTTCAAAAGTTAATACAGCAAAAAGTAATTTTTCATCTGAATTTGCCAAAACTTGTAAGGAAAGATCACCTATATAGACAACATTTCTTAAAATATAAAAATGTTTTTCATCAAAGTACTAATTTCAACTAGTATTAATTGTGTAAACAAGTGTAATGGTATAATTTTAGTTATAAAGATAGAGAAATAATTTGTTTTTAAAATAAATTATACTTTTCATGTATTTTCATGGCTAAATTCTGAATTAAGTGATTTGTTCTAACCATCAGTGTAAAACCACAAGTTCCAAATTAAATTAAGTCTCAATCTTTGTTTGGCAAGTAGGTAACTCTATAGTAATTCCTGTATTCATGAAAAGTAAACAAGCTATCCTGCTGGACATAAATTATCTAAAAATAAATTATATAAAAAAATTATTATTTTTCTTATATTTTTTTTTAGGTAACGTAATTAGTATCTATAACAAATAAAATTATTGAGTCATCTGAATTCTGTTACTTTGCAAGTAAAACTAATACAAAAAAGCATCAAAGCTTATAAATGTACCTAAGGTTTGTTACATTGCATAGTTTTGCTAACTCAAATTTTGCATGACAACAAATGCATGGATAGACATTAACAGGAAAGGATTTATTGCAGTTGTATCTGTTCAAATTGTACCGATGAAGAATAAATGTTGCAGAGATAACATCAACTAAACTACTTGTCTTTCAACTAAGACTAGGGCATACAGTGCATATAAGATTTATAAAGGAAATTGGGACTACTAGAAGAGGAAGGCTATCCTTGAAATCAATCTAATAGGAAAAATGTGATTATAAAAATAGATTCAAAATAATTAGTGTACTTAAATATAGTCTATACAGAATACTGTAGAATATTGCAAATAGAAGATGGTTAACTTATAATCTGGTTGTTGATTTGATATATATATATATATATATATATATATATATATATATATATATATATATATGTATATATGTGTGTGTGTAAATCTTTAGAATTTATGACAAATATACAGAGCAATTAAAGAAAAAGCATAAATTGTTAAATGATAATTTATTCAGATTCAAATTGAGTACCATGGATATATCTCAAAATGGATTCTCTTGTAGAGAAGAATATTTTTCTCTTACACTTTTATTAAAATCAGATTTCAAAAATTAATGACAGAAAATGTAGAAAAGAACAGACTTTTATTTTATTTATTCACGAACAAATATATAAAAATTGGAAACTTCTTAATTTGTCCAACCATGTGCAAATATATTTAAGCAAACATTTTGAATGTTTATCTATTGAATTTGAAATCACTAGAGACTAAATTCTGTATAACAATTACAATATATTAATACAATTAAAAATCACAAAAATAAATTTGATTCTTACATATATATATATATATATATATATATATATATGCCTGCTAAAAAAGTGGATTTTCCTGAAAAGATGCCAAAAATAAAAATATTTCTTTTAATGAAAAATAAGTAAATAAAATGTCACTTTTTCCCATCTTAAGGCATGAAAAAGAATAAATTAGTCTTAAAGTTATCCCAAAATAATAATGATGATGATTTTCAAAAGGAGGCCGAGATACTCTAGCTAGATTCAAATGGTCAGCGCTATTGTTAGCTGCTGAATAATCTAACCACCTTCAGTCAATTATCCATTGTGATCATTGTTTGATTAATAGAGAATAAAAAAAAAAAATGAAAATCACCACTATATTATGCTAGAATTTTGTCTTTTTTAAATATTTACAATGAACAAGTTTTTAATTAACCTATCAGCTTAATTGTGATTAGTCATGCCCTTGTTGCTTGAAGAGGTAATCTGTAAAAGAATGGTGTCCTGAGAAAAGGAATGAGTCACCCCAGCTTTTATTTCTTGGACATTGAGAAAAACAGCAGTAACAATAGTGGCAGCTTCCTCAACCACTGGTCTCTATGTCAGCTGATAAAGGCTGAATGTACTTTGTCATCTTCCATTTTACTACTATCTAGCCTGTAGCTTCTGACTATTCATAGCTGCATTAGCATTGAGACTAATGTATGTTCAAACATAAGAGTGATATATCTATGTATGTACAAACCTACAATGGAAGTGGGGAGAAATTCTCAAGTACACAAAGGGAATTTGTTCAAATAATAAACAAAAGGAAACCCAAGTTCCATAATTCCGAACCTTTCTCTTTCATTTTCACTATTACGTCATACTAATTTCATGA